GTGTCTCTCAAGCCTGGTGAGCCAGGTGCTTCTAGTATTGCCCCGTGCCAAGTAAAAGTAATTGTTAGAAAACACTGGATGGTGTGACATAGATACTCATTTCAAATAAAACAAATAGGTGAGGTGGGATGTAGGTGGGGCGTATCAGCCTTTGTGGGTTTTTTTCTGCAAATACATTTGCTGCTTCCAGGTTGTGTTCTCCATGTGCAGTTCCAGTGGGCGTGAAGATTATCTCTTAAGAGTAGAAATGCAGACAAAAGGTAGAGGAGGGGTTTTCTGAGAACACTTACTCAGGCTGACCTCCAGTATCCTTAATCCGTGGTTTCTATTGAGTGTAACAGCTACACCACTACCCACGACTCTGAAGTTAGAGAAGAGGTAAAAACCCGGCCAAGATTTGTTCTTTATTTCTGAAGAGCTGCAGCTCTGTCCGTCGCTTCGTTACGCTTGAGCTTATGTGTGTACTGCATAAAATGTCACTGTCACCATGGCACACGGCAAAGGGCAAATCGCCAGAGCTTGACTTCCAGTGTCTGACCCGAAGCCTCGGGTACTTGCAGGTGCTTTTGTTGTGTTTCTTTAGTCTGCTCTACTAAAAGACTGAATAATGTGTTTTTTATAAGTTAAACAATAAAGAAGTGGTGTGTGTTTTTAACAGTGTCTCTTGGCAAAGGCTGTAGCTCGTACAGTGCCTGCTAATGCCTCTTTTCTCATGCTGAGCTTGACATGACGTACACTGGGAGAGCTCTTGCACAAATTCTGCCTCAGTTGCAAATGCAAAACCGCTGTTTCCCACTCGGGCCCTTAAAGGGTGACAAGGAACGGACTATACCAGCTTTTAAAAAGATGCAGGAATGAATGCTACCTCTTCGTCATGTTTTTGGGGCTGAAGTTGGGTGCTGGCCCCTGGCTTTGCTGCGGGCTGACTCCTCCTGCAGCTTGGAGGCTGCTGCATCTGCGCTGCTCCTTGTAACGGCAGCGTTGGTTGCGGCTGCTCTTCTCGGCAGAAACGCTGAATAAAACTTGCTTGTTGCTGGGGGAAAAGGGAAAGTGTACGGGCGACTTCGCCAGGGGAAGGCTGATTGAGTGATGGCAAGAGTGAAGAAAAAGTCCACAGCTATTCTCTCAGGGGTGTGTGTGTGTATGTGTGTGTATATATATGACAGGTATTTTTTTTTAATCTCTCTCTCTGTACACACATATAAATGTATTATACAGTCTCAAACTCTTACAGACAGCTAGTCTTTTTTTATATAGTATATATAGAATATAGTGTGTATGGAGAGAATAGATAGCAGTTACTTATACACGTACATAAACACACTCAGCCCCCCTTTATAGGCACTGCATATGTATGTATACACTTGTATGATACGCACACATTCATGCAGACACTTTTATATAGATACATGTATTTATCCGGGCTCAGACACTATTTTTATATAGAAATACACACAGCATATAACATTTGACAGTGTAGGTAACATAACATGTAACGTATAGTTTGTGCTTTTTTTAATTGTACACATCCACACTCTCACAGACAATAGTCCTATAGCTACACTATTCAAATATATATATCTATAAATAAAACCATATGCTATCGTCTCACCAACCTTTTTTTTTTTTAAAATACTCGCTGTATATGTAGACATACATATGCATGCAGCTTTTAATGCATGCACACTCACTCTCTCCCCCCCCTTTATATACATGCGTATATTTATGCTCTATAAATACACAGTCTCGGGCA